CAATGGCAATAGTTCTCAGGATCTACAAAAGAAAGAAATACACAGAAAGAATGTTAATACCGTGTTTTAAAATATTGAATGTTGATTACGACCATAATGAAGACCCAAAATTAATTAAGCCTTATTTTAATGCGTGGGGGTAAGTGGAGCAGTGAGTGCTTGACAAGTTTAACCACCCAGTATGCCTTTGACCCTGACCATTTCCATATATACAAATGCTCAAGTCAATGTCAGACCTCCATTATCTAAAGTGTGGCACTTTGAAATGAGTGTTGTCATATGTGCCAAATTCCCCCATCACAGTAAGACTACATTCTCAACTAAAACAGGCAAACCTGAATACCTGTATGTAGCAAAAGAAATTGAATATACATATATACTTTCACACGGACAGAAACATTTTCTTACTAGAAGTGACAATTGTATCGCTCTCTCTCTCTTTCTCTCTGAGCTGCTTTTCGGTGGTAAAACCCACCTTGAGTATGCAACACCTGACACATATTGCCCGAGGAAGAGAGGGGTAGTCAAAAAAGTTTGACTGAAGCATTGCAAAAGACTGAATTGTTGTCGATCAGCTGAAGTGTCCCAAACGTCTACCATGGCCTACATAAAGACCCACAAGCACACTTATACAGTCAAAATGCAAAGCAAGGAATATCCGCAAACATATTACAAAAGTCATTGCTAAAACAAAAGTATATAAAAATTATAAAAAAGCTAATTTTCTAAAATCTTTATCAACTAATCCAAAGTAGAATGAGATAAATTAACGCTATAGTCCACCATCTTTGTTTCAATATTGGATGCAACCATCATCTTATGAAGGGTCCACAGGTTATATAAACTGAGGGGAGTTAGCACCCCCAATTTTAAAAAATGCCTCGATTAGTCAAAGTCTTCGACGAGTCTAAGTTACATAATTATAGTATTTAGATTTTTCCGCAGCCGATTACATGTATTAAAGATAGAGAGAGAAATTGCCCACATAACGACCAGGCCACCCATCAAATGACCATCCAACTAACCAAACAAATTAATGTGTCGACAATGTGCCTGCCAAGTACATCACTTGTTAATATTTGTATACCTTGTTACATCCTTCATTAGTATTGTTGCATTTGGCAGATGTTGAATGCATATGTAATTAATAGCAATAAAAACCTACCACGCATTTCATAATCATTACACTATATGCAACGTTATATGAAATTCTACGCATATTTATAAGGTTATATCATCAATCCACCCAAGGCCCAATGCACTCAACCACGGCACTTTTGTTCATTCTTGGTCTCGTGTCCATTTGGGCGGGCACTGTCCTATCTGCGTATTCTTCAAGTTTGTCGAGCATCTGCTTTACAATACAACGGTTTTCCTTGGATTCAGACACATCGGTTGTTTCGAAAGGATCAACGGCTAAATCGTATAATCGAACCTTACGCTACATGCTAAAGTTGTTTTCCGTGATTTCAACTGCGGGTGACGCGAGTGTCGTTCATATCGTCGTTATCATTATAGTCGTACTGTAACATTATAATTTGAGGGACTGTACTATCATAGATCCGTTACTCACTCGCTCACGATTCCTATTTTGAGTTTAATTAATTTAAAATAAATGTTAGCCAAAAACTGCCGTGAGAACTAAATGACCCAGATACTGTTATACAAATAAAACTACAGTCGTACTTATAATTAGTAGTAACGAAGTAAACAAAGCACATATATTTCTTTTTGCATCACAGAGTCTTATCTATATAATTAGGTTTACATTATAGTGTCTTGTAGAGTATTATTGGAATGCAATACACTGATAATGTGTATGTACCTTCTTTTACACAAATTCTTATTGGTATTGGTAAACATGCTTTTGTCACTTACTTTTTTTTATTGCCCGTCAGGTAACTTCCTTTTGTCTATTAGTTATGTCAACGCCATTATTTCTAAAATACCCTATCCTGGTTATAGATTCTTTCCCCATTGTGCCAAGAGCAATCAACACGCTATTACGTGGTGATTGTTTCAGTTCTCTTTGAAACATGATGTTAGTTACCTTGGTAATCAAATTTCGACTGATTTACAAACAGATATACATCATGTTATTTCCATCGTTCTTACAACATGAACTACTACGAGCTGATCATATGATAGTATTGTGCTTGATGTTCTTGTTAGGGTTTAAATTTTGCTGTGCATGTTTTATAAGATATGCCTATTTTTAGTCCCCGTTCGGACGAAGTTCGAAAACGGGGACTTATGTTTTGATCTCCGTGCGTGCGTGTGTGCGTCTGTGCGTGCTTCCGGACCTGTATCTTTGAAATTCCTGGACCAATCACAATCAAACTTCACACATACATCATACATGATATCATACATGTGTACGTCATTTGTTTCGCGATCTGATTC